TACAATCTTTATTTATATATATTACTATCACTGAAGTAACTGCATCTATGAATTTGCTGTTCATCTTGTTGTGCTAATGAAGTACGGCAACTTGAACTGACGCATATGAATGTCTGCTCCTACATTGTAAATGACTGACTGACTTTGTGAGCAGGCACAAGCAGATGTCTCTCTTAGGTTGTAAAGTTACGCTTCTCGTATTGACAGGATTGCGACTAACAGTCAGTCAGTCAGTAACAACGTAGAACTTCGTACGTACGTACATCAGTTCGAGTTGCCACACCAGATTAGCACAGAGATTCAGTTGTAGATCCAAATCGCGTGGTGGTAGAGGTAATAAGAGTATAAGCAGTAATCGGGAAGATTAGGGTTTGGAGATGTTATTTAAGGAGTATAATCCAGTGAAATAAATTTGGAAAGAGGAAAAAAGGGACATGAAGAATTCAGAAGATTAGAATTTGGGAGAACACAGAGTGAATGCACATGCGCCATTGCAAACGATTTTGAGCCATGTCATTCAGGGTCTCTAACCATCGGTTGCTATCATCTCGCGGTCCCCAACCAGGTAGTCTGCACCTACCAACATGACTCAGTTCACTTGTCAGTGACTTCGTGGACTTGTGCCATGTTTTGGTTTGGCCGCCCCTGGCTTTCTTCCAACCTACTCCTATACCACTGAACATAGCACGTCGAGGCAGTCGGTCGTTGGGCATACGTAACACGTGTCCCAGCCACCTCAACTGATGAAGTTTCACTACTTCATCAATTGATTTGCCATCCTTACCTAGTACCCGATCCCTAACAACTGTGTTACTTACTCGATGGTCCCAGGATATACGAGCAATGTTTCGAAGACACCTATGATCGAATACTAATAACCTAAGAATATCCTCTACTCTTACCGGTCATGTTTCACTGCCATAAAGAAGGACGGAACGAACTGCTGCGCAGTAAACACGTCCTTTGGTTGATAGACGGATATCTCGCCTACGCCATAAATGACGCAAGTTGGCAAAAGCTAGTCGAGCCTTCTGTATCCGTGCTGAGATTTCGTCACACACTAAACCACAAGGGCTGATGAGACTTCCAAGATAAGTGAAGCGGTCGACACACTCAACTACTTCACTCCCTATCACTAGTTCGGGTGTCGATGTAACTCAATCCTGAAGCAACATTTTGCATTTCGAGGGAGAGAATCGCATCCCGAACATACTTGCATTGGTGCTTAGAGTGGTCAGAAGACTATGCATTTTGTCAGCGTCTTCACCAAATAAAACTATGTCATCAGCATATTCTAAGTCAACAAGTGAACCTCCCGGTACAAGTTCAACCCCTGGAAATTTAGATGAGGAGAGTGTTATCTCTAAAAGTACGTCGACCACAAAGTTGAACAAGAATGGGGAGAGTGGACAGCCCTGACGAACACCACTTGAGGTAATCAATTCTGATGACAGTTCGCCATAAGCTCTCACTCTACCAGTTGTGTTCGAGTAGAGAGCGTTTATAAGGTTAATGTACATCTTTGGTACTCCTTTCAGTGACAAACACTGCCATAGAACCTCACGATCAACAGAGTCGAATGCCGCCTTAAGGTCGAGAAATACTACCATTGTGGGGCGTCTGAATGTGTGTCTGTGTTCTAGAACCTGACGTAGTGTGAATATCTGATCTATACAACCACGTCCAGGTCGAAAACCGGCCTGGTTTTCTCTAATCTGCTCTTCACGAGCTTTGATTAGGCGTCGAAGTATTATTGAAGCGAATATTTTAGACACTATATTAGTCAAACTGATTCCTCTGTGATTGTCACAAGAGGACTTTTGTCCTTTCTTATAGACTGGCACAATCAGTGATTGAGACCAGTCAGATGGGATTACGTCCAGTTCCCAAATTCTACCTAAGACCTCGGTTAATCTCATTGCTAATACTGGACCACCATCCTTAATAATCTCAGGAGTAAACCTGTCAGGGCCTGCTGCTCTCCCTCGTTTCAGATTTCCTATGGCTTTTTCAACTTCGTAAAGGGACGGAGGACCTACATTAATTTGCCATTCAGGTTGACTAGAGATCGTGGGAAACCGAAGTGTGGCTGAAGGCCAGTTGAACTGATCCATAAAGTGTTCTGCCCATCGATCCGATCTCCTGGATTGAGAATGAATAATATGTCCATCTTTCTCTGAGATTGTTTCGCTAACGGTCGGGTTCCTAATTCCGGTTTCCTTAACGAGTCTGAACAATTGTCTGCTATTACCTATTGCTGCTGCCTTTTCCATCTCTCTTGCTTTCGCTACCCACCACTGTTCGCGATCATTGCGTAGACTTTTTGTCAGCTTGCGCTTAAGCTGACTCCGATCTTCATTAAGTTCAGAGCCAGGTGGAATGAGTTTCCGAGCATCTATCAGTGCGGTAGATGCTGCTGAGATCCAGTGTTGCTCCTCAACCTTCTGGTTTACCTTACTAGCAGATATCACTGCTGTTTCCACAGCTTTTCGGATATCATTCCATGCTGCCTCAGGGTGGGCATCACATACATGGCTGCCTAACTGTTTTCCTAGGTGTTCCTAGTTGTTCGCGACTAATAACTGGTATTTATTTTAATACTTCTTGAGAAGAAATATTCTTTCACGGTGTACGCAACAGTGAAGTGACAACGATCCCTACACTTCTAACAACAACAAAATACGAACAATCTTAATTTGCAAGTTACGTTAACTTTATATAGTTTTAAAATCTAAAATGTTTGTCACACGATAATATATTTTCTGGAGATGAATTTAAGGAAGCCAAATTGACCAAGATCAAACGTCACGATAGTGCCAGTAATAGCAACTCTACACATAGAATATGGCTCCAGAAGAAAGAATGGATTCACCAGATAAATGGTATGAAATAATATTGGAAACTGAAAAAGTTGTGAGATGAAGCGTGAATAGATCTGGACGACTGAAATTGACTTGAAGCAATTTTCTTCTAACGTCTTCCTAATAGCTAATCATATTCATTGAACGACTCAGACCACGAGTCAGTTAATGATCTAATATTGTTCTATAATGCTGTCAATCAATATGATAGTATTTTATTTTATATGAGTTTATTGCTCACTATCTGGTCTGGATAAAGTTACCTGGTATTTTGATTTGATTACAAGTACAATGATAGCTGCTAATCTTTGGGATTATAGTTTATGCGATTAGTTTGAAGACAGTGTTCATTTGACATGTTTTTGTAAGATGTTAATCTATCATTTTTACTAAATACGTGTTGTTTTTAGTCACAAAAACCTTAAAATGATAATGCATTCAGCTTAGGTATAAAGCTAGACCAACAAAAACTGCAAACTTCTTTTCCCCCACCAATTCATTTACAGCAGCAAGTCAATATAATAACAAAAATTATCTTCCTAATAATTACATTCACTGGATTAACTTACAAACATTTTATATTTTAAGACATCACAAGATTAGAAAGACGGGGTTGGTGAGTGAATGATTTACAATGAATAAACCGATGCACTTGAATAACTCAGGTGAACATAAAGAAAAACACATCACAAAACTGCCATATTAATATACATAGGTATAGCGGAAAACAATAAAATGATAAACAATGCTACCTACGATGACTAAGTATGTGTATATAAGTGAAGGTGTATAGGTAGACATTCCAAATGCCTTAGCGACTAAATATCTTATGAATGATTTTTTTCTGTACTTTAATTAGATTAGACTGACTCCGATTTTAGACGAGAAATTCCACTCAATCTGTGTTAAAAAAACTACCATCATCATCGTCAACACTGACACCACCACTGCTACTGTACAAAAAGTGTGCTAGGTCACGGTTATTTCAGGTAAAAATGAAAAGAGAACACAAAACAACAAAAGTAAAATAACAACTGACCTACACATTAAAACAATTGAGTTTCTAGTCTAACAAATAATGACCTGAACGGCGTAGCATTGATTTGACACAATCAGTATGGTGGTAGTATTTTCAGTGTCTATGACAAACACTGAGAGTTTAGTAAGTTATGGGTGAAATAAGCACATGGTAAGACAGGGTGTAGACAATATTACTTATCTAAATATATATATATATATATATATATATAAGCTCGCGTGCGAGACCGAATGTCGTGGTTTCGAATCCCGCGAGTGGGATCGTGGATGCGCACTGATGAGGAGTCCCATGCTAGAACGAAACAGTCTTCCAGTGCTTCCAGGTTTTCCATGGTGATCTAGCTTTAATCGACTCATAAATTCAACTATTAAATTGCTACAATCTCCACAAAACCCCTTTCCGGTAAGACAGAAATAATTAGGCACAGTTGAATTACATGAAGGTATTTGCTTTAGGGTTATTAGACTTGAACTGTTGGCTGGATGATACTCATCTTTCGTAATCTGGCATGTCAAGGTGGGGGCAGGAGCTTGTTAGGAGAAAAGAGGTTTTAAATAAAGAATAGATGGAATGTGGCTAGTAGTGGGATACAGGACGTCTATTTCGTTCTATTTGTGACTCATCAGTTAGATGTACCTGCATCTATTCAATTTTATCTATGTCGAACTTTATCACAATGGCTATGTCGAGGCGATCCGCACAGGACGCACAAATGCCAACTAAGACTGATCGAATTTCATCCAAAAATATCAAAAACTGAATGATCCAAACCACTTCATATTGAATTAAGTTTTTAAATATCGTTCCGAAGAACATTTGATGACAGTGTAAGCGCATTCTCTAATGTTAAAATAATATTACTTCTGAAGCGCACATAAATTGGACGAAGTTACTAGCTGAACTATTTGCGAATGACTTAGTTTAATAAACTGGATAGTGGAATGCGGAGTAGTTTTAAAAGAGATTGGGATATAAAACTGAACATCACTACTGATCTGCATGGGACAGCTTGGTAAATAATTAATTAATATTTACACTAGTAATGATTTGGAAAATATTGAAAGAAAAAACGAAAAAGTAACAATAAATGAAAAGCTTACCGCCATATTTTAATTAAAGAATCACACCCACCAGAAACTAGTCTTTTGATAGGAGGAATCATAGTATTTGTTGATGTTGTTGTTGTTGCCAACGTGGGATTGAATATAAATTCAGCATTTACGGAGGGTGCCCAAGACACGCTATTAACACCAACCTTAAACAATAGAAAAATAACTTGATTTATGATGCATGTTTGACAAGGATAAAAGAAGATTTACTAGGTATTTGTCATAAAACTGATTAAAAGGTACGAATATTTTTTGAAATGACTAAAAACTTAATGAACATGTACTAATCAATGTAGTGTAATTAGTCATACACAAGATAAAACCTGGAACATGTGTATATCGGTTCGAATTGACAAATTCGTCTGGCTGTGCTAATGAGTTGCGGCCAGACAAATCCCACAGCAGTAGAGATAGTGTCATTATTAGTAGTATTAGAAAAGATTAAACATACAAAATTCAATTCCAGAAATCGCAAATTTGCGGAATAAAAATCTACAGGAAATTCACAAACTAAGGGAAGACAAATAGTGAATGAATCTGCCCAATTGCAAACAATTTTGAGCCATGACAACCATTGGTTACAAAAATCACGCGGACCGCAACAGAGTGGTTTATACCAACCTACATGGCTCGGTTCAGTAGTCAGTTTCTTCAGGAACTAATACCATAATTTGATTTGACTACTAGCTTTCTTCAAACCCAGTCCTATACGAACCATCATTGCGCGTCAAGGTAGTCGATCGGAGGGAATATGTAACACGTTTCTTAACCATTTCAGTCAATGTACCACAATTACCTAGCGCTCTGACTCTAAACTCAGAATTGTCAATTCGATGATTTCAAAATGTACTATCAGTGGTTCGAAGACACCTATGATTGAATACTAGTAACTTACGGATATTCTCTATTTTTAGAGGCCATTTCTCACACCCATAAAGGAGAATGGAGTAAACTTCTGCATAGTAAACTCGTCGTCCGGCCAGCAGACAGATATCTCCACCGTCGCACAAGTGACGGAAGTGTGCGAATGCCCATTAAGTTTTCTGAATTTTTGGCACGATTTTGTCAGACACCAACTCACTAGGGCTGATGAGACTTCCCAGATAGGTTAAATGATCGACGCGTTCAATTACATCATTCCCTATAATTAGTTCAGGAGTTGATACAAACCAACTCTAAAGCAGCAATTTGAATTTAGATAGGGAATAGGAAACGTAGCCTAAACATACTAACATCGTTGCTCAAGGCGACCAGAGGACTCGGTATTTCTCAGTCTTCGTCGAATAGAACTATATCATCTAGGTATTCAAAGCTAGAAAGAGAATCTCGTGGTAGAAGATCGATTCTGGGGACGGACGATATGAGCGTTATCCTTAAAAGAATATCTGTCAGTCAGTCAGTCAGCTACAACGTAGGACCAGGCACATATATGCATCGGTCCAAGTTGCCATACCTCATTAACACAAGATGGACACCGGATTTATAAAAGTAGTTAACTAGAGGTAGTAATATATAAAAGAGAGATTGCAATAAGGATACAGTACAGGAAGAAAGAATTAGTTCGTAGAAAGAAAGATATGAAGCAATTTTAATCTCTTAGTAAAAGAGAAGATAGAGAGTGTATACACCGACGCCATTGTGATCGATTCTGAGCCATTTCACACAGTCTCCAACCATTGGTTACGATAGTCACGCGGACCCCAACCAAGTAGTCTGCATCTACCAACATGGCTCAGACTAGAAGTTAGTGACTTCAAGCACTGATGCCACGTTTTGGTTTGGCCGCCCCTAACTTTCTTCCAACCATCCCGAACACCGGTTAGCATTGCACGTCGTGGTAATCGGTGTTTGGGCATACGTAACACGTGGCCCAACCATCTCAGTCGATGAAGATTCACAACCTCATCTACTGATTAAAAGAATATCTGTAACAAAGTTAAATAAAAATAAAGGAAGAAAACAACTCTGATGAATACCACCTGAAGTTATGAACTCCCGTGACAGTTCACAAAAAGTTGACTCGAGCAGTGGTGTTCAAGTGGAGAGTCTGTACAAAATTAATGTACTTCTTTGGTATGCCTTTCAATGACGGACATTGGCATAAAAACTGTCGACCTAATGATTCTAACCTTGCCTTAAATTCGAAAAATACAACGGTGACCAGGAGTCAGTAGGTAAGTTTATATTTCAGAACCTGGTGAAAGGTAAATATTTAGTCAACATATCCACACTCAGGTCTGAAAACAGCCCGGTTTTCTCGGGATTGTTCTTCACAAGCTTTAGTTAGGCGTTGGATGATGACTGAGGTTAATATTATAGATACTGAATCTAACCACTTAGACGGAATTAGAATAATTGCGAATTCACTCAGCAGCCCGTCAGCTGGATGTTAAACGCTCTTACGATTAATCTAATGCCCATTCTTTTTTTGGTTATTTATTGGCCTCTGGAAATTACGGAAATCAAAAGAAACTATGTTGGTTTCTCTAACGAAATCTTTGTTAATTCAAAATCACCTGAAATAGTTTTGTTCTGTTTCAAATATGATCGACTTGGAAATAATTATTTCACTTTATTAATTATATATTTACTCTGTAGGCAACCAGGAACTGACAACCATCCACACACCTTTAACAGTACTCAAAATCACCTCAAATCACTAGGGTTTTTATTTTAATTTGCAGTTCAATCACATGAGCGAATTCCTTACCTACTTGCGACTGTTATTCCTTGTGTAGAAGCATAGGCCACCCACCAGCATTTTCCATCGAACTCTGTTTCGGACAATTCTTCCCAGTTGCTGTTTGTCCTTTTCGTATCTGCTTCCAGTTCCCGGCGCAATATGTTCTTTGATCTTCCGCTTTTCCGTTTCCCTTCAGGATTTCAAGTTAGCGCTTGTCTCGTGATGCAGTTTGATATTTTCCTCAATGTATGTCCTATACACCTTCATTATCTTTTCCTAATTTCCTCTTCATATGGAAGCTGATTTGTTCTCTCCCACAGTAGAATGTTGCTGATGGTATCCGACTAACGGACATTGAGTATATTGTGTAGACAATTGTTTATAAATACTTATACATTTTTGATGATAGTTGTGATAGTTCTCCAAGTTTCGGCTTCGTACATTAAAACTGTCTTGACGTCCGTGTTGGAGATTCTGACTTTGATGTTGATTGTTTTGAGTTCCATATGTTCTTCAACCGTAGGAATGCTATTCTTGCTTTGCCAGTCCTTGGTTTTACGTCTGCATTAGATCCTCCTTGTCCATCGATAATGCTGTCCCGATAGGTACGTGGATGACTGTACCTCATCCAGAGCTTCTTCATCAAGTGTGATTGAGCTGGTGTTCTCTGTGTTGTATTTGAGTATGTTGCTTTTCACTTGTGTATGTTGAGGCCAACTGATGCAGAGGCTGCTACTACACTAGTTGACTTTACCTGTATTTGTTCTTGTGTATGGGATAGAAGAGCCTGGTCTTCTGTGAAGTCCAAATCTTCTAGTTGATTCCGAGCTGTCCAATGTATTCCGTGTTTCCCGTCAAATGTGGAGGTTTTCATAATCCGGTCAACTATCAGAAGAAAGAGAAAGGGGGAGAGTAAGTAACCTTTTCTGACTCTGGTCCTTACTAGGAATGTATCCATCAGCTGTCCTCCATGCACGACGGTTCCATAATGTTCCCCAATCCGCACTGCCAAATGCTTTCTAATAATCAAGGAAGTTGGTGTATAGCGATGAGTTCCATTCAATTTATTGTTTAACGATGATCTGTAGTGTCATGATTCGGTCTATGCAAGACCGATGTTAATGGAATCCATTCTGAATAAACTGTAAATGCACTCTTAAAACATAATGCATTTTGTACTACTAAAGTGTTTGTTAGTAGTTTGTTATGTTTCCGAAAAGTAATATCGATGGCTTTTCAATAATAATGTCCAATTTATGTGCTTTAAACAATGACGGGGTCGACTTGGTAAAAATTCAAGGAGGTCATAAAACTCACAGCTGATACTACCACTTACGGAGTGTGCTTCTGGGATTCGAAAGGCACGCCAAGAGTTCGTTTCGTCTGATATAAGGATGGAGATTGTCCCATCTGAACTGGCACATGCTAGCATTAGTCCATAAGAATGAGGAGCCCAACAAACGCAATTGACTATTAAATAAAAAACAAACGGTGGATGACTTTGGAGAACAAGACTAAGAGCTATATAGCTAACCAAATGCAAATGTTCTGAAGTTAAATCATTTATTTGTAACACAAAACTTCGACGACCGAGTGTCTACAATAACCTACCTTATCTCTACAAAAATCAAGTGTTTTCAAAATACCTAATTAGTTTCTGGGAAAGTTATTCGTGTGTAGAATTATTTTTTTGTCTTGCATTTAAGTCTTTGAAGAGAATTTTTGCTTACATTATTACCTTTCTACTTGTTTTCAGTAAAAGTAGCTAAGAGTTCCAGGAATCAGTGAGTCAGATTTGTTGATGATTAGTGCTCATTTAAAATAATTTCCCATCCATTTTATGTTAAATTAAGGAAAAAGTTTGTTTGAAGGGAAAAATTTACTACTGCAGTGTCCATACATAAATATCAATTTATTAATCCGCTTGAAGTTAATGGATGCATTATTAAAAAGGTATTAAGCGTGCAAGTGCGGCTTGCGCGGCGTTACAAACATAGGATTAATTTTTTACAAAGCAACCTTAAAAATAATATATAATTGGTGATTTTGAATTTTGTGGTGATTAATCGGATTTAAATTTTAAGGAAACTCTGAAAAGGACAATTATAAAGTGACACATAGTTTGCAAAATATCGTAGAAGGTACAGAATCTTAAGTTCAACAAATAATCGAAAGTAAGCTTTGGATAAAACACCTATGACTATGTTAGTTTTAGGATCTTCAAGATCACTAACGTATTAACTTCCTCATACAGATAGAAAAAGTTTCAAAAGGAGTAATGGCGGACACGTGGGATTACATATATGAAAAAGTATTTTGAATCACCTTCATGGACTTGTATGAGAAACAGTTATTGCTTAAACAATTGAAAACACTGAATTGCCAACTTACTGATGGCTCAAAATATACTAAAATTGTGATACTAGTCATCTCATACTGGTACACGATTATATATAGTTTCAAAGTATTGTAGTTATATCTAACCTGAACTAGCATGTTCAGCATATTCAAAGACTTTTCCCCATCGTCCATTGGTTTCTTGCCAGATAATCACCTTACGATCATAACCGCAAGAGGCCAATAAACTCCCATACATAGGATGGGACCAACTTAAACTCCAAACAGGTCCTTGATGACTACATGAAAATGATTAGTAAATACAACAGATGATTGTAGGTGTATGAAATACGTCTAGACAACCAAAGATTAGTTTACACGAAAAATCTTCAAATGGAAGTTATATCATGCATAAATGTGGCGAAGAAATTGTAAATAACTAGACCAAATTAAAAAATGCCATTGATTAAGAAAAAAACTAACTGTATACGAGTGACCACACGGAATCATGCGTTTTGTGTATGTATGACCTGGTGTCATGTAAGTCACCGACAGAAAGTGTTGAAGATGCAGTCGGTTTATGAACGAATATTTTTATCAGGATTACTTTCGACTTTTAAATATTAAAGTTTAGTGCTTCAAAAGCTGGGCCTCCTTACAGGCCTCCGCGTTGTTAGCTTAGACATAATGGTAGTCACTGGTTGAGGGACAAAACAGTCTGATCGACATTGCTCAGGACACAAACCAGATGAAATGTTCCCCGAAAAATCCCGCCAATCCTCATAGGCGCCTTTGGATGTTACTAACTAACGTGCTGCCAACTTAAGAGGTTACTAAACTGAAATCAGACTTCTCGATCCCAGTGTCTTGAATCAGTTGGAATGCTCCCAAATGCCCAGATACGGCCAAGGGTGTATAAAGCAAGCTCTCTCTCCAAATGCTCTCACATAGTCACGCGTATACAGCCACTGTCAGGGAAGTCTTAATCACTGCCTTCTCGCGGCAGGGATGTTGTTTACGAAATTGAGAAGACGAAAGGCGAATGTACTGTGTTTGAAGAGATTATGAGATCACCTAAATCAGCGAATGGAACGAAGGGTCAGTAACATCGCGACGAGACAAGCTCAACTATGCCGATGGGTTCCAGGCCTGCTAACTAAACAGAGAAGACCAGGTTAGGACGAAAGGTATATTTCAAAAGCAGCCAGAAGCCCGAACAAACCAAGCATGCAACTTAAGTATAAATATGTATATATATAGTATAAAGAGGTCCATGGAAAACGTCACAAAACAGCGTATTAAAAGAGCCAACAAACCAATAACATCTAGAGTCTTTTCAAGTAAGAAATACAATCTGAAGGTAAAAATGAGCACTATTGGCGCGAAAACGGGAAATTCCAGTGTACAAAATAAAATTGCAAAAATAAGGCGTTTAACAAGTGATTTCTGGGGATCTAGCATCTCTCAGAAAATGTCATGCGCCTTAACCGGGTAAGTGAATACGGAGGATCCACATAGGGAAGTTAGGAAACCCTGGTCCCAAACTAATGGTGCACATCAGCTCCAGAATCCCGAAGAAACAAAAGGCGTATGAAACTGTTGTTGGCCACCGGTTACCATGTTAATGCATCTCCTAACGTTGCTCCTTTAGGTCAAAGGTTTGAGGATTGACCACCTAATAAAACCATCTACTTCGGTTCGGGTACCCGGGCAATATTCTACCCCTAACATAAAACGAATGATTTGTGTGGTGCAAATCTATTTCGTGCCTCCTTGTATCAATGTTTATGTGTTTAAATAAAAAAACAAAGATAAAGTTGGAGCATTTTCTGGTAGTTCTGTTCAACTCATTACCACGTGCTGAAAACCAGGCATCTGAGTTCGCGCGCACGTTTTATGCGATCTGACATAAGAATCTATATGTTCTGTTGAATGGAAGATCATTATCCCTCGATAAGTTGTAAAGAACCGACGTAAACCCAGTGCTTAAAAGTATGAGTGAAATGGTAATAAAAAACAGAATGGGTCAAAACAAAGTAAAATAAACTCATATGTATTAGTGAATGCATCGCTTAAGTAGGTAGCTAGGCAGAGGGAATAGAGTAGTTTCCTAATGATTATAATGACATTTGTTTACGAGCTGAAATACTGTCCAAGAAACCGAACCAAAGCACCTAACATAGATAATTTTCAGAATTTTATAATCACATGACTAGGAACATTTGTTATGACGACCTACAAGATGAAGTCTATCCATTTTCTAGATAAGACTCCCGGAAATATAAAATAAGGAAATTAATAAATACTTTGGGATGGTGGTAATATCTCTAATGTTGAAATACATTCAAAAGTTTATGGTAATATTAACTCAAAATCGCTTAAAACATACTCTCGTAAGTGAGCAATAAGAACTTGTTTCTTGTTACGGACATCAAATACTTTAACTGAATGATCGGACGAAGCTGTTGCTAGAGTTGTTCCATAATAGTCCAACTGAGCATCATGCTAAGAATTCGACAGTATTTGAAATATTAAAATAACTTACTATCATATCTTCATGGTTAGTATCAATAGTTTGAATGCCAGAAACCTAAACCAATAGTTGGATGAAAACAATTATCTAAGAAAGGTAAGATTTTGTGATAGAATATCAAAATAAATTTGATGTGCAATATACGTACGTAAATGAGACTTATAATGCTACAATTGGCTAACATCGGAATCAATTTGCTGGTTTCAGTCTAAAAGCTTAAAAAAGTATGTACTAATCTTCGTTTTGAATTAACTTCAAAGTATTTAGGGACTTTAAATTCACAACTAAGTATCTTAAAAGATATAGGTTAGATATTTAGAAACCGAACAAAAACACATATATTGGAACAGATGGATTCCCGATTTTTATTCATATCCATATAACATGAACTTGAGGCGGTCTTCAACAGAATAAATTTCATTTACTAAGAATAGATTTACATACACAAGTCTCCAAAAAATACATAGTCATTATTGAGAAAAAGCAAGTAAACAAGATATTAGTTGACGTAAGACAGAGACATGAAGAAGGCAAGAAACTCCAGGAGACAAGTAAACTTCTATTCTAATTTTAGTGCCAACTACATAAAGGAAATTTATGGACTCATACTATTAAGATCGTCTTATTAAACTACATAAACGTTGGGGAATAAATAGAAGAATTAGGTTGTGGTAAGTAGACGAGACAGATCGCTTTCAGCTTAATTTTGTTCGATTTTATTTATTATGGGTATAGGAAATTAACACTAAATAAACTGCCTTGGAAGATAAATTTTGGACGACAATGAGTAGGACGAATATCCGGGGTAATATATAGTTATTTACCCACGCCGTCACCATGAAAATAATTTCTAGAGATTTTTGCCTTAAATATTGGAGTCAAATGGGGACTATATCGCACCGAAACTCTTACCATAGCTTAAAATAAAACAAACACGTCACGAAGTAGCGCAGCTCTCGCTATTACCGCTTTCAATCACTAATCCTCAGTCTTCAGTCGTAACATAGTAGCTAAGTAGACCTGTGTTAATCCTTACAGCTTGTCATTTAGTTCACATTTCTAATGAAAACGTTCACCGATGGGGCTGATAACTCTGATTCGGACAAAACACTCGATGAGAAAAACGAAACCACACTCAGAGCTTATTAAATTGCATTTTTGAACCCTCGAGATAATGCTTTGAAGATCACTAGTGCTAAGAGGAGCACAAAGTTCAGAAATCGTAACACTAAAATGGTTAATAAAGATACGAAATTCCAATATAAGTTCACCTGGAGTCCTACGATAAGATGAGGGGAAAATGTTCAGGAGTTTTGAGCGTTCATCATAAAAGAGTTCGAAAGACCCTTCACTAATTCTTTCCCACAAGCCGAATACGCTCAAGTGACTTGGCGTTTTTATGAGACATGGACTGATTGCTTGTACACAGTACTGTGGGTGTGATCTTACATAGGTGAGATACCATACTCGAAACAACTTGTCAAAGAACTTGTAAGCTCAGCAAAGTGACCACCACGCTCGAAAATCTTTGGCGACCGAAGTTGTTTCCAAGCCGTAATGTACTATCAAGATTAAGTATTTTTGTTCCTGCACACACGAAGCGTTATACCGTCGATAGCATACTGATAACTATTACTGTACCAGATATGGATGATCACACTTTTCTCGGAATTAATGTGTGAACTCGAAATATGTGACTAATTGACTAATTTGTGTAGGTCAGCTTCGCAACTAAGATGAACAACCCTACTACTTATAGTCATCTAACTTGACAGTATCTGCAAACAAGTGTCGATGACTCAAGCATTCGCAGTAATTCATTGACGAAGAGTAAAACTAGGGGACTTAAAATATAGCCTTGGAGTGCACTGCTTTCTATTCAGATAGTGTCGTGTTTACACTCACTCCGCCTTCGTCTACAGAGGAAGTTTCGTACCGACTTATTTTTTCAAGCAACTTAACTACTATCCTGGTTAGATTGAAAGGTTGGTAGTTAAACATGATCTCTATCTTTCCATATTTAAATATGGGGTTAAGATAGCATTTTCCAATCCCTAAGGATTTGATTGTGGGAAAAGGATATTTTGAAGAGCATCGCGAGTGGCCCTCGAATGATGTCCACAATCAGGGAGCTAGTGTCTTACTAGGTCTGAGGTTAATGTTCATTTGAATAACAGCGTCCTCAGTCACAGATACAGGTCCTTTAGCTGGAATCCCAGTAATGTGATCATAGGCTGGTAACAATACCCGTAGAGTAGACTTCGAGGAAATACTTTGATAAAGTCCCAGGTTTGACCATATCTGATCTAGCGAGTAAATCTAAATTTTCGTGCAATAGTGATGGGGTTTAACCGACAAAAACAATATTCTAGGCAGGTACGGCTATCATGTGCTAACTGCCTTTCAAAATCAGTTCGGCATCTGGCAATTTTCTCTTTACATATATCTCCGATCTTTTGGTATTCGCACTCAAAGGATTCGTGGCCTGTTGATATGAATAAGTCACAGAATAGTTTCCTAGGCCCGAGCTTCCGGGTTTGCTTGTCAATCCATAGAAGGTAATGTGATGGCTCACGCGTTGACCTTTGGATGTATGATGGTGTTACAGACTCGAATGTGGCTTTAAATTTATTCCATTAACATTCGACCGATCCACCTGAATCGGCCGACCAGTCTGTTGACACAGCACAATTTACGACTTCGGTACATGAAAAAGGAATGGAGCAGACATATGCTGTAAACCGTGTCCAAAACCTAAGAAGTACGGCGTGATTACTACTTGCCAGTAGGAGGAGGTGCTGAACGTCAACAACATTGTAACAGTGGTGTGTAAACACAACATCCAGCAATGACTGTTCATGTTCCATATCAATGTGTCAGTTTCGCGATACATTGCATAAGTACATACAGAATAGTGGTTGATAGCAGGTTGCTGTCAAATAATTCACAAGAAGTTATAAACCGTATTTAGTTGATATGCGATGCAATGAAATGAGACAACACTTGGTATTACTCCAAGAACGGATAAGGCGGCATCGGGCACCACCTAGGTACCTGTCATTTCGAGATAATTTGTAAATGAATTTCAAATCTTTATGAACAATATCTGTAGGACGTTATATTTACCGCTTGAAGGTATTCGTGATGGCAATTCGATTCAGAAGATTTAAAATCTGCGGACATTAAGTTTACTTGAGGAGAATGAGGACAGTATGACCGCCTATCCTGTATGATCTTTGGTCAAATTCTCATGAAACGACAAATGTGTGGACTGAGTTTTCCCAACGTGGTAGCCACATTATCCTGCTTTCATAGCATAATTCGATAATACATAGAACCACGTCACATAAATAACTGCATTTTATCACGATAGAATGGGAAGGGGGGATGAACAGTAACGACTTGCCACTGTGTGCGCCAGTCTCACTAAGTGTGTTGATCAGTCCAAACTAGCCGTCCTCGACCTTCACAATATCCAGCAAAATGTTCGTTATTCTCTCGTGTAGAAAAAGTCTAGCTTAGTAGATCATACTGGAGATATGTTATATGTTGCTGACCCTAAAAGCCCTTTAATTAAGTTACGTGGAGTCATAGAAATGAGCAAACAAGCCCACATACAGATAGGGAATTTTCCCATTGCATGCATGCGCTATATGCAAATACAGAACACATAACGACGGCCACATATTCCAAAGGATACATAGAGGTATAGTTGTGACCAATCTAGGGTGCAGTTCAGCAGCTTTTTACACTGAATGAATACCAAGCACTTAAATCAGTACGCGAATAAGTCGTCACAGACGATGTGTTCACTTCACATTCACACCACAAATAGTTTGAGTGCCGACCACTGTGCGCTGGTTACAGTGCGGTTTGTGGTTAACCATCTGGCTTGCCCCTATCAGACTTAAAGGCATCAAAATGAAGTTTTCCACAGCACCACAACCGCACTATCAATTCGAGGTTAACTTTTCTCATCCTGTTAATCAGAATTAGGATGATGTGGGCAATAAACCCGACGGTCGGTCAGTTCAGACTCTGTTGTGCCGCCTGCGTCAGTTGATGGGAAGGTGATCACCTACTATCCAGGGAGCACTATGCAAAAGTACAAGTCGGACTTTCTCCCTATGAATTTGCTTACATTTAATAAAGCAGGTACTCTACATTTGTCCCTTAGACAACCTTTTTCATCCCAGGAGGAGAAGGTACCTGGTAATCTCAAAGACTACTTCCCATAACTGAAAATGTTATGCAATCCGTAACTATACAACTGATTCCAAAGCTCTTCAAACCTCATTCGAAAGCTAAAATGTAATCACTGAAAAATTGTCTATCTTTTGTTTTACTACGCAAATCTAACAATCGCACCAATCAAGAAACAACATATCATCTAAAGAAAAAATGTAAATCAGTTTAATTTGCCTCAAAGTTTAGCAATCAACTATAAAATAAGAATTATGCAAGAAATACAAAAAGTATGCAATTAACTACCGGTTAACAACAGCAAATATTCTTTAAAAAAACAGGAAAAGCATCCCAGTACAAGTGATAAGAAGAGAAATCAGTCCATACAGTAAAATTGCAAAGTACACAAGTCCAAAAAGAGATGATTTAAAAGTCAATTAAAGCAGAGATGAAACAGTTGTTCAAAGAATCAACTCCATATATAGGCGCCAGAATTAGTGCAGACAAATGATATATGAACCTAATATAGATAAATATGGAGATAAATGAAGTATTTCATGCAAAGGGAAAAGAAGGAATGTTGTTATGTAGAACGCAGGCATGTGGGATTTACATACAAGCATGTGTCAGGCTGCTGCCCCCTATATATCTGTGAGTTCGCATGCGTTTATGATTCCTGAATCTGAATTATGAGACCGAATAGTCACGGTTGGCAGCTGAAGCACATAATCAAGGCATAATATCGGTAACTACGTGATACAGTGCCAGGTCTGATAACGAAGATAACTTCTCCAACTGTAATGTCTAAGATTTGGATACACACTGAAATATATCCCACAAAATTTATAAGAAACCTGATCAATGTACCATTTAAATGTAGTCAAGGGCAAGTCTGTTCCGTACATACCATGCTTACCGAAGTCATCTAGTACTAGGCTTCAGTTATTACTACTTCAGAACTGTTCTAATACAGGATCAACAACTGAGTAGATCTAACTGTCTGTACTCATAACATTATTTTGATAACTTCAATACACGTAACACCATAAATTATTCCCCGTCTGCAAAATCCCCAAGACCTGACTTCCGAAATCGCAATCAGTTTACTGTAGCATCTTCTGTATACTTTTTCGTCCTCTCCCAATGACATACTACGTTTTATGTTGTTTTTCCTACCCCCCTCCCCAATCATTAATTAACAAATTTCCTTAGACCGAACGGAGAAACAACTGAAGTGGTTAACCAAATAATCTAAAATCAGACATAGTCGATCTTTATCCGTAAGTATTTACTACTCTTGTGTATCCACTCCTTATGTTTAATAAACGATGGAATCCTTGATTTCGTGATGAGTTTACTACAGCAACACAAATAGTAGTAAGGGGCAGCAACTCAGGATTTCTTTGAAACCGAACAATGGTAATGATCGAAAAAAGTATTCCAACAAAACAATGGGGACGGAATACCTACTTTTAAGAGTATTGAGATATTCAGTGGTTAATATATATCAACTTACCAGTCAATCAGCTACAACGTAGGACCAGGCACATATATGCATCGGTCCAAGTTGCCATACCTCACAAGATGGACACCGGATTTATAAAAGTAGTTAACTAGAGGTAGTAATATATAAAAGAGAGATTGCAATAAGGATACAGTACAGGAAGAAAGAATTAGTTCGTAGAAAGAAAGATATGAAGCAATTTTAATCTCTTAGTAAAAGAGAAGATAGAGAGTGTATACACCGACGCCATTGTGATCGATTCTGAGCCATTTCACACAGTCTCCAACCATTGGTTACGATAGTCACGCGGACCCCAACCAAGTAGTCTGCATCTACCAACATGGCTCAGACTAGAAGTTAGTGACTTCAAGCACTGATGCCACGTTTTGGTTTGGCCGCCCCTAACTTTCTTCCAACCATCCCGAACACCGGTTAGCATTGCACGTCGTGGTAATCGGTGTTTGGGCATACGTAACACGTGGCCCAACCATCTCAGTAGATGAAGATTCATAACCTCACCGACTGACTTACCATCATTCCCTAATACCCTGCGTTTAACCTTACTATTACTTAACCGGTGATCCCAGCAGACGCCAGCAATATTCCTGAGGCATCTGCGGTCAAATATTAGTAGCTTACGAGCGTCTTCTATTCTCAATGGCCATGTTTCGTTGCCGTAAATTAAAACAGAACGGACTGCCGCGCAGTATACTCGCCCTTTGATCGATAGACGGATATCTCGCCTTCGCCATAGGTGACGTAAGTTGGCAAAAGCCAAACGAGCTTTTCGAATCCGTGCTGAGATCTCGTCAGACACTAATCTATTAGGGCTGATCAGACTTGTCAACGCGTTCGACTACTTCACTCCCTATCCTTAGTTCAGGTGTTGACGCAGGTCCGTCCTGAAGCAACAACATGCACTTAGAGACATTGTTTATTTGAATTTGAGTGAAAATAAATTGTAAACATTCCCATTGGCAAAAAATGTAATTTGGAGCGATAGTATGGATTTGTAACTTCATGAAATGCAAAATTGGTGTACAAACAAGAAATTCCACAACCACCAAAGTTTGGATTCATCTGATATTCAACGTGTAATATCAAGAAATGTTAAAAATAAAAAAAAGTGCACATTATCTAAAAACAATTGTAAAATAATCTACATTAATAAGAGAACATGAGTTGGAAATCTCAAAAACATGAAAGTGGAATAACTGAAAGTCCGCATACTATCCCAGCTACAAGAAAGGCACCAGACCAGTTGATATGTTCAGCCAACACAGCAAATGGGTAACCAGCCAATATAGCCCCAACTGAAATGTACAGATAATAAAATTGATTTAAGAACTAAGGTATTTAATACGTTGATGTTTTCCACTGACAAATGTAAACTAGTAGGGCAACGTTAACTGTTGCGTGATAATATATACATACTTACCTACACCTATCCAACCTAGTCAATCCATGTCGTCCCATGATATCTTCCCATCCGGTGTTGTCTATTCCGACTTCAGCGTTTAGATCTCCCATCAGAATGGTGAGGTCATTTCTTGGGCACTTCTCTATGATTGATTGCAGCCTCTCATAGAATTGATCTCTAATGTCGTCATTACTATGATTGGTGGGTGCATAACATTGAATAATATTCATTGTGATCCCCTCCTTCTTTGTTTTGAATGATGCTTTGATGATTCTGGATCTGTGAGATTCCCATCGTACAAGTGCATTCCGTGCTACTTTGGACAGCATTAGAGTAACTCCCTGAGTGTGTGGAGCATTTTCTTCTTCGTGACCGGAGTATAGCAGCATCTCTCCCGTATTTAGCTTTTGTTGTCCAGCTTGGGTCCAATGGGTTTCGCTGATTCCCAGTACTGCCAAGTTGTATCTCCTCATTTCCGTTGCTATTTGACTGGTCTTTCCGGTCTCCCACATTGTCCGGACGTTCCATGTACCTATAAAAATTGTTGCTCTGGTTGTTAGAAGGGGCATCGGCCTCATGGCTTCCGAAGGAGCTCGGCTTTCACCATGAGGCGTCATATTTCTTCTAAGTGAAGACCTAACTCCCAGGGCAGACTTTAAATGGTTCGAATTATTTTTTTCTGGTTAGGGTTTTTTACCGAGTTAGTTTTCTACGGGATGGGGTCCCTAACTCCATGCTCAACCCTCATTCTTTACCCGCGCATAGGACTGGAAGTAACTCTAGAAGAGCTACAGGCGGAGTTTGATAAAATATAGGACTTCAAATAAATCCTTGAGAAAAATATGAAATAATAAAGTCAACAAAGTAGAATAATCCTTTAGAAAAATCATTTGTTAGTTCAACGAATCTGTTCAACTACAGTCAGGAAAATTATTAATAGGTCAAAAGACAGTCAAAATTCAAAACATTAAGTGCCTAATTTCCCAAATTTTTCAAGGACTTCTTGGACACTAAACAAATAATCTAAGTGACAGCTTCGTCAACATATCCCAATGTAAAGTAAGCTCTTTATCACAAACTGATATTAGCAAAGAAATAATTGACAATCAGTGAGGACTGTACGGATAATTAGAATAAACATACATCAAAAACACGAGATCGTGTGTAGGAAATTCATCAAGGGAATGTATGAGTTCAAAGAACTTCATTTCGATTAAGTGGAAAATTCTTCTTATATGAGAACCTTCGGTTAAAAGTGAAAAAGCTTGCCCTCATATCTAAGGAATCACTATTCCATCACACATACGAACGGAGTTTATTTTATATTAATTTGCTCACCATGCATCAGTAGGTCTCAACATACACAAGTGAAAAGCAACATACTCAAATACAACACAGAGAACACCAGCTCAATCACACTTTTTAACTTCAAACAAACTTTTTCCTTAATTTAACATAAAATGGATGGGAAATTATTTTAAATGAGCACTAATCATCAACAAATCTGACTCACTGATTCCTGGAACTCTTAGCTACTTTTACTGAAAACAAGTAGAAAGGTAATAATGTAAGCAAAAATTCTCTTCAAAGACTTAAATGCAAGACAAAAAAATAATTCTACACACGAATAACTTTCCCAGAAACTAATTAGGTATTTTGAAAACACTTGATTTTTGTAGAGATAAGGTAGGTTATTGTAGACACTCGGTCGTCGAAGTTTTGTGTTACAAATAAATGATTTAACTTCAGAACATTTGCATTTGGTTAGCTATATAGCTCTTAGTCTTGTTCTCCAAAGTCATCCACCGTTTGTTTTTTATTTAATAGTCAATTGCGTTTGTTGGGCTCCTCATTCTTATGGACTAATGCTAGCATGTGCCAGTTCAGATGGGACAATCTCCATCCTTATATCAGACGAAACGAACTCTTGGCGTGCCTTTCGAATCCCAGAAGCACACTCCGTAAGTGGTAGTATCAGCTGTGAGTTTTATGACCTCCTTGAATTTTTACCAAGTCGACCCCGTCATTGTTTAAAGCACATAAATTGGACTAATGCTAGCATGTGCCAGTTCAGATGGGACAATCTCCATCCTTATATCAGACGAAACGAACTCTTGGCGTGCCTTTCGAATCCCAGAAGCACACTCCGTAAGTGGTAGTATCAGCTGTGAGTTTTATGACCTCCTTGAATTTTTACCAAGTCGACCCCGTCATTGTTTAAAGCACATAAATTGGACATTATTATTGAAAAGCCATCGATATTACTTTTCGGAAACATAACAAACTACTAACAAACACTTTAGTAGTACAAAATGCATTATGTTTTAAGAGTGCATTTACAGTTTATTCAGAATGGATTCCATTAACATCGGTCTTGCATAGACCGAATCATGACACTACAGATCATCGTTAAACAATAAATTGAATGGAACTCATCGCTATACACCAACTTCCTTGATTATTAGAAAGCATTTGGCAGTGCGGATTGGGGAACATTATGGAACCGTCGTGCATGGAGGACAGCTGATGGATACATTCCTAGTAAGGACCAGAGTCAGAAAAGGTTACTTACTCTCCCCCTTTCTCTTTCTTCTGATAGTTGACCGGATTATGAAAACCTCCACATTTGACGGGAAACACGGAATACATTGGACAGCTCGGAATCAACTAGAAGATTTGGACTTCACAGAAGACCAGGCTCTTCTATCCCATACACAAGAACAAATACAGGTAAAGTCAACTAGTGTAGTAGCAGCCTCTGCATCAGTTGGCCTCAACATACACAAGTGAAAAGCAACATACTCAAATACAACACAGAGAACACCAGCTCAATCACACTTGATGAAGAAGCTCTGGATGAGGTACAGTCATCCACGTACCTATCGGGACAGCATTATCGATGGACAAGGAGGATCTAATGCAGACGTAAAACCAAGGACTGGCAAAGCAAGAATAGCATTCCTACGGTTGAAGAACATATGGAACTCAAAACAATCAACATCAAAGTCAGAATCTCCAACACGGACGTCAAGACAGTTTTAATGTACGAAGCCGAAACTTGGAGAACTATCACAACTATCATCAAAAATGTATAAGTATTTATAAACAATTGTCTACACAATATACTCAATGTCCGTTAGTCGGATACCATCAGCAACATTCTACTGTGGGAGAGAACAAATCAGCTTCCATATGAAGAGGAAATTAGGAAAAGATAATGAAGGTGTATAGGACATACATTGAGGAAAATATCAAACTGCATCACGAGACAAGCGCTAACTTGAAATCCTGAAGGGAAACGGAAAAGCGGAAGATCAAAGAACATATTGCGCCGGGAACTGGAAGCAGATACGAAAAGGACAAACAGCAACTGGGAAGAATTGTCCGAAACAGAGTTCGATGGAAAATGCTGGTGGGTGGCCTATGCTTCTACACAAGGAATAACAGTCGCAAGTAGGTAAGGAATTCGCTCATGTGATTGAACTGCAAATTAAAATAAAAACCCTAGTGATTTGAGGTGATTTTGAGTACTGTTAAAGGTGTGTGGATGGTTGTCAGTTCCTGGTTGCCTACAGAGTAAATATATAATTAATAAAGTGAAATAATTATTTCCAAGTCGATCATATTTGAAACAGAACAAAACTATTTCAGGTGATTTTGAATTAACAAAGATTTCGTTAGAGAAACCAACATAGTTTCTTTTGATTTCCGTAATTTCCAGAGGCCAATAAATAACCAAAAAAAGAATGGGCATTAGATTAATCGTAAGAGCGTTTAACATCCAGCTGAAGGGCTGCTGAGTGAATTCGCAATTATTCTAATTCCGTCTAAGTGGTTAGATTCAAAACTAAAGATTCATTTTTTTCTTGACCTGCATGCTTGATTCACATCTAAAAAGGTTATTTAAAAATAATCACTCACAATTCGCAATCAAAGCACTCAACGCATGTGCAGTACCGCTAAAAGCAGGTGGAGCAAGTTCAACAGCTAAAACACCACATAAAGCAATTGTCCCGATAACAGTAATACCAAGTACCAAGCTGATAATGAGGAGTATAGTCTAAAAAGAAAAGGTTAAAGAGAAAATCCAATCACATTATCCAATGGTTTTCATAAATTAATAAACTTTAATAAACATGTTCATAAATGCCGTAAACTGTTCTATTCGAGCAATCTTCCACTGACCTTGGGCTCACCAATGGGTAACCTTAACAGGAATTCCCGTAGTTGTAATTAACGTAATTGAATCATATCGTGAGTGAGATGTGTATCACTGATGACAATGGATGATGGCCGCGCAATATCATGAATTGATTGAAATTAGAAATATGAATAATTAGACGTTAACTCAGTGATCTAAAAGTAAGGCTTCCAGAGTGAGTCCTACAGCTCAATTCTCGAAGGGGAACGGGTGTGCATTGCTGGTGAGTCCCATGGTAGGACGATCAGTGATTATCAGATAAATTTAGACAGTGATTTACACTAAGAATTGTTCTTGAGGTTCGTACTCCTATTATTACTGTATAAAAGAAGTCAAAAATTTTATATTAGTAATTCTAGTCATGCAGTTTGGAAGAGATATTAGATAAGTTTTGAAATATTCCCCTTTACGTTTTTAAACATGATCCTACTTTAGACAGGATTATAAAATGAGATCAAATGTAACATGAGACGCACAGCTCATGATCGCTAACCATTTCACTAATCACTACAATTTCATAAACCGTAACTAGTAGAGCATATATATATGATCTTAAACTATAAAATATTATCAAAGATAAAAGATTTCTAAGAGCAAAACATATCTAAAACTTGACTTATTATACTCTTGTTTAGAATGTAGAGGAAGAATCTCGTCATGATTAATAAAAATCGAATAATCGAATAACGAAAACAGATAAGTGTAATTGACAAATTTTTTGTATCAAGTCCTACAATTATGAAGATAAAAATAGAGATTAATTGTGAAATGTTACTGAAAATAACACACTAATGTATATTATTTAGCAAGTAGACACTAATTAATTTTTAGAGATTCAAATTTTAAATAGATGTGTGAAGATAACAATGCTGTTTTTCAACAATATTGAAATTATTTTAAGAATTAATTGTATAATACAATCTTGTAGACCATTCATCATCATCATTAGTCAATGAAAATGAGACCAGACTATCAAGTTGTCATACTTATAGACTCAATATCGAGTTATCATCCATGGCTAACTAACAAGAAGTGAATTGATGACTTTGTGCTTAAAGAAAATGACTGTAGGTTCAAGCATTGCTTTCCTCACCTTATTGCTTAAACAACTGGTCGGTATTATACGGATTCATATAAAATATGTCTATTAGAAAGGAGCACAACGTATAATTCAGTAATTTAGTTATAATTATCAGTACAGGCAGTTTGAAACACTGATTTTGAAAATTAAATAGACAAATTAAATAACTGGTTAATTAACATTGACTACTGACAGTTTGATGCACTCAAATTAAGTTATTAGTCGGATATTTAAAAATGACATATATTACACTGTACATTTTGATATGTGTTTGATGCAAGAAAAAATCTTCATCTCTTACGTCGTATTTTTCTTCGAATCTAGCCACATTAGTTTTGTTCTGTTGTAATAAGTAGTAAATAGCTGTTTACTCGGGAGTTACAACAGCTAGTCATATTGTAGTGAACGAGAACACCAGTGGGGACAACCAAATATATTTGAACACAAAATTACAGAATCTCTCAATAAAATCATAGAACCATACAGCGAATACTTCATTTGCAAAATTTTAATCAATTAACTTAGACTTGGTCGTTCCTTCGTTTACACGCCAATCATTCTCTGTTCCCATTCTCTTCTTCTCGATCTTTTTAACCTTCTGCCACCAGGCATTTTACTTTCAATCGATGACACATACAACTTATATCTGTCGACGTCAGTAGTGCACAACACAATACCAGTAGCCGTGTCCACATTGTGTCAATATCGTGGATTGAGTGAAGTTAGACATTAACACCGTCAGATCCTGGCTCAATGGTCTAGAAGTGAAGCGTTCGCGCGCAAGATCAAAGGTCTCGAGTTCGATCCCCACGTGAGGAGTCGTGGATGCGGACTGCTGAGGATTCCCGTGCTAGAGCGGAACGACAGTCCATTGATTTCTGGTTTTTAATGGTGGTTTAACATCGATCGGTTCAGTGAAACTCAACAATCTACACAACCCCATACCGATAATTTTGACAAGTCCTAACAGTACTTAAAGTCAAATACATGAATGAAACTGCACCTGGTGAATTATGCATGATACTTTTCTATACCGCAAACATGAATATCAGAAAAAGAAACAAAAAAATTAAACTTGCACTTACTAAAGAAGCATTATGATTGGTAATCCAACTTAGACAACATAATGTACCACTAGCAATTAACATTTGTATAATTATTAATGGAATCCGACGACTAGGCCATGAAAATACTCTCTAAGGTCAAAATACAATACAATATGTGAATTAATAAGGTGATAAACATATTAAAGAACAAAAATCAACTAAGGAATTCAATGTTGAATTTAATATGATTGACACATTACATTTAATAAATTTTCAATAAAATTAGACACAAATTTTATTATTTCAAATTTTGTCCAAAATGGTCATTCGGAAGTAACCTAGAAAGCTCATCTTTTTGGAAAGTATAAACTTAAATTTATTATTATTGTTACCTAGTAACTTGTATCAACCTGATTATGCCTGTAAATTGACTACCTTTCTTTACTAGTTTTTGGAACATGTCATTATCATTATATAATTAAACACAATAAAATAAGCAACCATTATCAACATATTAATTCACAAGACGTTTAGAGAGAACAGGAGTTTATAAATTGCTTAGCGAAAAGATAATACAAGTAGATTTTCAATACGAAGTGATTTTGCAACAGATGTTATATTGTAGAAGAAAAGTAAGAGAACGATGATAGTGACTGACAAGTTATCGAGTGGTATTAAACGACTGATTGAATACGCATTCAGGATATTGTCATCTGACTTACGTAATATGTATCGGTCTTATTTGATTAAAATCAGAGAGGAGTTTTGTGGATATTATAGTAAGTTTAATAGTTGGATTCATGGGTCAATTTAAGCTAGACCACCATGGAAAAACTGGAAGCACTAGAAGACCGTTTCGTTCTAGTGTGGGACTCCTCAGCAGTGATGAACTTTATGTGGTAATGTGAAATACATGATATCATCATTTTCTGCGAAATGTGATGCTGGAAGAAGTGTGATTATGCTAGATATGAAAATAATTCATTAAGCCATCGGTTATTGATTCATTTGACAAAGCTTAGAATGCCTAACCAGGATTGATGAGATCAAAGAATTATACGCTTAAAAGGGCTCATAATTAGTTAGTGGGGCAAAAGAGAAGTCTTAAATATCTTCTAAAATTTTCAGCCTATTTAATCTAATAGAGACAGAAAAACTGTTTAAGCCAATTTGAAAATACATGGTACATATACTATCGAGAGAATGGTGAATTTTCAAATCATTTTATTTGTATTCATGTGATAGTGTAGAATGAACAAATGCACATGACATAACAAAACTATAGTGAGCACTAATATAAGTGCTACAAAGAAAAAAGTCCATAACCAACATCCAATCCACATTTAAACATTGATTACAACGTGAACTACTTATTATGACAGAAAGTATAGACTGTATTAGTTAGGAACTAACGAATATTGTCTTGAAATGTCTCAATCTTTTGTACTGATGGTAAATGCATATGTACAGAGTGCAGGAATAACTAACTGAACAAGGGAGTCGACTATATTTAAGGTTTCCCAAGATAATTCAACAGCTATAACCTTAGCAGTTGCCAACTATTTTACTTATAAAGGAGAACAGTTATGAGAAACAACAAGTGTCCCGTTTTATAAAATCTGATTTATGTTGAGATGTATTACAGTATTTATGGTCACAATCACAGACTAGTGATCAAGAAGATTTATTGTATTAAGTCACACCTCTAGAGGAAGCAAAAAATGTGAATAGTAGTAATAATATGCTGAAGACAGAAAGTACTGATTTTGGATAACTTTACTTTTTTTTGAAATTATATTCACACATCTCAATTTAACATAGCTTTGTTGGGATAAAGGGTCCAGGAATTCTGGGGTCTTGAATTTCTCTTTTAATACATGCAACAGATATTGATTTTCATTTGACGATAACACTATGAAAGTAATACTTATTCACAATTGATTGATCACTGGGTGGTGATCAATGTCATGTGTGTCAAGTCCTTCTTACTGCAGATCGAATGCTATTGACGAAGTTGCAATGTGGCCACTAGTCTAGGTGACTCGAAATTGCTTAAGTCAAACGAAATGTATTTAAGAAAGATGGAGGTAGTTCTTTAGTAAATAGATCCAATATGACTTGGAAATATTTTACATAAACCATTCTAGTGTATGTTGTCACTGAAACAATATGAGAGCTGAAAAACAATCAATTTATGACGTAGTCACTTAATAAAAGATACCTGTGTATCAGATGAGCACACGTTGCTGCATATAAAAGTCCTCGATGAGGTTGTAAATATCATGTTACTGAGTTGGTTTATCAGAAACAATCAGAAATTAAAGCTAGTATGTGACTTAGTCGTGATATTATTTGGGTTCAGATAGGAACAGGAGTAATAAGAATAGGGAAATTTTTTGAAGAGATCTTATGTAACAACTTCTACTGGTCCTAATTGTTTTATAATTCTTCATGCTAATATCGTACATAGTTTTTTACTATAGTGAGGAATAACTGAAACAAAACAACTTAATTTCATTTAGTAAAAATAAAGATTTAACGAAGAAAGTTTTCTTTTCGACAAAATCATTTATTAAAGTTACACACTCGTATTTATATATTTATCAAATAACTATTACTACGAATGTACAACTAAAGTAAAGATTTCATGGGAAGGAACGTGAAGTTTTGAATCTTAGTTCAACTCCGAAAAAATGAAACCTATTTTTTACAATGAGATAAATAACTTGAGAATCATTATGTTATAAATTCACTTGGTATTGTTTACTTGAATCTTCCCATAAATGTTTAAGACTTTAATTGACCAGTCTCTTATTGGCATATGTGCTTACTGAGTGCATAGCTCCGTTATTGCCTTAATTCACAAGCATTATAAGCAAGGATGTATAGTGGCCAGCAGTGGAATCCATGACGCGCGTTTCATCCTATGTGGGACTTGTCAGCTGGATTTACCTGTACCTCAGAGTTTATGTTCACTCTGGGACTCGCAATACGCACAGCACGGACATATGCCAATAAGAGACTCATCAATTGCAGTCCTAAATATCAATGGGAAGATTCAAGTAAACAATACCAAGTAAATTTAAACTTCACCCCATTGCACAAGCAAGTGGCTATCAGGACTCAGTAGCTAACTGGACAACACAATGGCGTTTGAAGCGAACGGTATCGGGTTCGAGTTCCAGAGTGAACATCAACTCTGAAATGCAGGTATATCCAGCTGACAAGTCCCAAATAAGAAGAAACGGGCGTCATGGACCCTATTGCTAGTCACTATCCATCTTTGCTCATTATCAGTTATGATAAATTACTTGTGTCGACGTAATAGTTATGAATGGAAAAGCTTAAAATGAATTTGCGTATTGTGCAAATAGCGTAACTATTAGTAGTTCACTGAACTATGAATATAGGTGAAAGCGTTTATTTTTCCTAACCCGCTTTTTTCTGGTATTTCATTTCGTTGAAAATAAATAATTGTAGAACGAATTTTAACCATTTCTGGCATTGATTTTAACTCAATTTATTATTAGCTGAGAGTTCATGATGTTAATTTTTTGCATTAACATATATAACTGCATAAATATTGAAAAAAATTACCAAAACTAATGACGGATAGCCTATCCTAAGACGTTATATTTTGTATTAATTTAATTGAGGTTACCTCAATGTTGAGAAATACAACGACTGAAAATACTTTGAAAGTGTATAGTTTGTGAGGATATAAGTATAGGTGTCGTTCAAGTATCGGTTGAATGTGGTGGAACCACTAAGTGAGTGTTATTGAGATTAAATTCAGGGTAATATAATCACATATTGTAAACTGATAAATCGCATTGTGAAACTTTAATGAATGAAGTGATTAGAATGTATATCGTATACGTAGTCCTTATGGTCTACTTCAGCACTATGTTATCTAGAGAAGGGATAGATTAAAAAAGGCTATAGTGGACCATACTAAAATATGACATCATCTGAGGAAGTCACTGACTACTGGTATGAGTTGTGTAGAAAAGTGCTGGCTTTCCAGTTGACGTCTAGTGAGACAACTATAACTAGTAGTTGGAAACTTTAAGCGACATCACTTCACAGTCAGATAGATACTTCAGTTTCCTCTAAATTTTGATATTATTTTGGATTTATTAGTTTCTTTTGAAACGTATTTCATTGTACAATTCTAGTAAAGAAACTAAAAAGACAATTTAAATATTTAGACACCCCTTACAAACTAATGTATTACCCTCTGTCTTCCTACCAATTTTATTGATATTGTATGCTTGATTAACAGTTTATATTGAATCGATTTGATGTCATAATCGAGAATATTCGTCGTTTAATAAAAACGAATTGAGGTTAATCCGTATCAGAAGGGGTTTTGTGGAGATTGCAGTAATTTCAATAGTTGTGATCATGAGTCAATTGAAACTAGACCACCATGGAAAACCTGGAAGCACTGGACAGTCCCTTCGTCCTACTGTGAGACTCCTCAGCAGTGGGCATCCACGACCCCGCCTCATTGGATTCGAACCCAGAACCTATTAGTCCCGTGTGCAAGCGCTTAACCACTAGATGTATATCTCTGGTGAGAAGCGGTGACCAGTGCAGTTCAACCGGGTCAGTTAAGACATAGTAACTCATTGATGACAATAGCGCATGTGTCGCTCAATTTTCTGGAGTAGTTGAAGTTAGACATTAACACCGTTGGATGCCGGCTCAGTGGCCTAGTGGTTAAGCACTCGAGCGCGAGAATGATAGGTTCTGGGTTCAAATGCCGCGACGCGGGATCGTGGATGGGCACTACTGTTGAGTCCCACACTAGGACGAAACGGCCGTCCAGTGCTTCCAGGTTTTCCATGGTGGTCTAGCTTCACCTGACTCATGATCTCAACTATTAACGTTAATCCATTTGAAAAAAATGAGATTAGTCTGTATGAATATCCATATATTAAATATCTGTTTTTTTAAGTCAATCAAATTTATTTATTCTTATTCATTTGAACACATAAATAGTGGTACAAAGCGGAGTCAAATACACATGCGCCATACATTAACAATGCGGCAAAGAAAAGATGCAGAATGTAAAGTGTGTATAATAAAGCAAAAAAACAACGTATAGAAATTAATAGATACGAGTGAAATAATAATGATGGAAGATACAGTTCAGTTAGCAAAAATACAACCAGGAAGAATTCTTTCAGTTAAAGAAGATACATTAATTTTTAATGAACAAATTGAAAGTAACAGCAGGATCGATACATGCTTCTATTCTGAATTATACATGATAACGTCTCAAGCCACTGTGTCGCACCATCTCTAGGACGAGAAGCAAGGAGTCGTGAAGGACAGAAGCAAATCCTGTACAGCTACCATTCATACCACGACACCACGTCATAAACGGACCACCTAACCGCATTTTGCAACCAGTCCCAGCGTCAGCAAATAATGCATGACGTGGAATTCTCTGGGGCGACATTCATAAAATACATATCCAAGCCACTGAAGTCGATGTTTCAAGATAGTGACACTAATTGAATTATCATCTCTGTGCCCGAACACACGATGCCGAACCTCTGCATTACTGACATGGTGTTGCCACTGAATGTCAGCAATCCTTCGGAGACAACGATGATCGAACACAGAGAGTCGTCTAACATCCTCAACTCGAAGAGCCCAGGTTTCACAAGCATAGAACAAAACTGCTCTTACCGACGCGTTGTAGATCCGACCTTTTACAGCCAGACTAACATCACGAAGGCGCCAAAGATGGTCCAGATTGGCATAAACTTCTCTGGCTTTCATTATACGTGAATTTATCTCACCATTCAAACTATCAACAGCACTTACGCAGCTAATTAGATACACGAACTTCTCAACTACTTGTATCCGCTCACTACCCAGGGTGAGTGCAGGATTATGGTCCTGCCAGTTTTGTGAAAGTACTTTGCATTTCGAAGGTGCAAAGCACATACCTTACCTACGGATACTGATTGCCAACTGATTTAGTGCGGATTGCATGACTTGAGTATCATCACACAGTAAAATAGTATCATCTGCATACTCAATGTTGAAACGTTTTTCTTCAGGCAACAGATCTGCACCATCATTACCTACATCCGTCAGAGCTATTCCCAGAACGTCATCAATGGCAAAGTTGAAGAGCAATGGTGAGACTGAGCAACCCCACTGCTTGAATGGAACAGTGGAGAGAGATGGTTCTATGCCCTCATTCTGCCTGAGGTATTTGTATATAGGGCTTTTGAGATATTATTAAACTTCTCAGGCACATGCTACTTCAATAGACAATACCAGTAAACCAGCCTGCACATCTCGAAACAATCTTTCTTGGATTTTGAACAATCTACGAAGTATGACGGAATCCAATAGTTTGGACGCAATCGAAAGTGGTCGTATCCTCCGACAGTTGTTACAGAAACGACATGAACCCTTTCTAAGGATAATAACAACTATCGACTCATTCCATAATGTTGGAACACTCCCTAATTGCCAGACCATTCTAAAGAACTTAGTTAGTTCCCTAACCGGAAAGTCACCACCATCTTTACAAAGGACCGAAGCTAAGTCATCTGAGCCTGGTGAATTGTAGTGCTTCAAGAGTCGGAGTTCCTTGCAGACTTCTGCCTCGTTAGGTGGATCAGTCGTCACAGGCCATGGGGAGCAGGACAGTGATCGATGTTACCGGGGCAGCAGACCAGTTGAACTGGTACTCGTCCAAGACATCGGTTGGTGTTAATGATTGGCATCTCGTCATCTTCATAGATTGTTTCGCTCACACCAGACTTCTCGCTGCCAGTGACTCGGATGAGTTGAAAGAGCTCCCAGCAGTTACCGGATGCAACTGCTGTTTCTAACTCAGTGGCACGCTGTGACTACCAGGCTTCTCGGTCCCTACGCAAGCTTTGAACAATCTCATTACGTAACAGTCCTCGTTTATGATAAAACTCACAGCCATCCGGAGTAGACTGACGTACTTCAGTGATTTGTAAGGACGCTGTAGAAACCCTGTGCCTATAAGTGGGACGTTTCACGGAGCCGCATGCAACTTTACTCGCCATTTTCATGGCGTCATGCAAGTGCATTCAACGCTCATCTATACTTTTCGGCGGATGGTAGCTAGCCTTGAACCCAGTTGGCTTTGACATTTATTTGCAATAGAAGCTGCAACTAATTGGCTGATATCGATCCTTTTGGGACGATAAATTTGTTGGCCGCTAAAACGTAAGATAAAATTGACGTAAACAAGGGCATGATCAGAGTTCAGATAGATACTCCACAAGGAATGGCGGTCTTGTACACAGCCACACCAGTGGTAGGTGATCGCGATGCGATCAATCTGAGTTCAGGTTTGAGATGCACAAGGAGGACGTCAGGTGATGCACGGGCGATGACTGTAGTGGTAGGTAGTGCGAGCCGGAAACAGGTTGTAGTCTGCACAAAGTTGTGGTAGGTGGTCACCGTTATCTAACAATGAAATGAGTCTATCAATTAATGGAAAACCCGAGAAAATTGAAAAGACAATTTTTATATAACCCAAACAAACACTTAAGACTAGAAAACATCCGACTGTGAACCGTCTTACTATCAAATATATCCTAACTTAGTTGTCTTAATAAACAATAATCATAAAAAGCATGGGCCAGAATAATGAAATATCCATCCATACACCAAGCAAAAAGTCTGATTGTAACTTACAGAAAACACATTCAAATCAGCTACTATTCCAACGAACATAGACCCAAATATTCCACCGAATTCGTAACTACTGGCAACTAAATAAGCTGAAATGAATAGGTGAAAAAAAGTGTTTTTTTTGGAAAAGAAAGACAATGGTAGAAATTTCTGAACTAATACACCATTTTTTCAAATGAAATTTATATTGATAACTTACATTAAATAAACAAACTAAACATCATCCGAAATATATGCACTTTATAATTTAGTAACATCTATGAAACAGTATTTGGTGAATTGTAGACTTATGTGATTTGTTTGAGAACTTTATAAACGTTTGCTTTTAATTAACATCATCAACTGGATATACATTAAAATTAAGTATAGGTTCATGATAATAGACAGTGAATCATCACTCTTGTATGGAAACGAGAGGATTTAGAGGATCAACTAGATGGATTGAGAATGTGACATAATAAATGTAAATTCAACGTCTATACCACGAAACTATAACTCAAGTATATATCATCTAGATATATTCCAAAACATAACCGAACACAGTGAATACAGTCCATGGGTTTCTTACGCTAAATTTTGTTAGGAGATTTTGATAAAGTCTAATGAGGGAAGAAAATGCATTGATTGCTAATTATAAATCACAATCCAAATAACTATTGATTGTAAAAAAAATTGCTGGATTAGTCTCGAACTATGATGTACTACACATATATGACAGTTTACCATTATCTTTTTTTGTATTCATATAGTTTTATTATTTTTTCTTTTACGCCAGTAATTTCTTGTTATTTCACTTTATAGGTATAGCTAAAAATTAATTACATTTCCAGTTCTAAAACTGAACTAAAATATTACCAAAGTTTGCAGTTAGACATTGAACAAATCCGCGCTCGCTGTTAGATCTAAACCACAGTAACCAGTCAATATCATGGACACAACATTACTACTGAGCCATGAACAAAAAGACTGGCTCCTCTTGGAAGTTTGAGATGTTCACACTAATTTATGAGAAGAGATCAAGAGTAAGACTGTTGATTGAATTTAGATAAATTCGGTTACTATTTTAATAAGACATTCGATTGTATTCTGATAAAATTTGTTATGTAGTTCACTCGGTTTTAGGTTATAACTGTGTAAATGTAATCAATAATTATCGGGAAGAGAAACAGCAAGTAAGGAGTGATATTTATTCTTTAATATATATTCTTCATAGGTTAGGTATTGCTTTCTTAATAGTTGAGGACAGAGTCACGAGTATTGGGGGAACAGTGTTGAAGAGTAGTTGCAGGTACTCATTAATTGCGGTCACTCTTCTGTAGCAAGGATCAAGCTACAACAGTGATATTTAGTCCAATTTATAACACGTTCATTTCTGATCAATCAGCGAAATTTAAATTTCAATCGCTAAGATTATTTCAAATATAATTTTCACATATAATGACTTCTCTGTACTCGGCGCCCAATTTCTGTCAAACTATTCGTCCTAATTTTGACGTATATTTGCATAAAATTAAAAAGTTTATTTTACCAACGTAACATAATTGATGAATGGGACGACAAAAAAATAACAAATATGCACAAACCGGTACTTTGTGAGTAACCATGTTTATTATTCAAAAGCATAATTGCAATCCAATCGCCTATTGCATAACGTAAAAATGTACTGCACATGTGAACACTAGCGGAGATACCCAACAATAAACGTTGTCTTGGACTTAAAATACGAAACAATTTTGATATTTGATTAGTAATATTCACTTTAACGGGTTGAATTGTCACGCCATTATCGTGATTTTCAGTAAAATCTTTATCTTGACAGTTGTTCGATAATCGGCTAGTTTCTAAAATGTAAAAAACCGGATACTGATAATTTAAAACACGTGAGATAATCAACTTAGTGTGATTGTCAAAGAACTTTCAAAATATGATTTACCGGCTCAGTATTTAATTATGAAATTTTTTCGATGGCACAATAAGTATAAACTGGTCTACTTAGTTTTAAGTTATACTTACCTATGTGAGGATTTGTGATATGATCTGCTTGCTAGACCAAACTACATAAGGCAAAATTTAAATATGGGAAGGTCACATTTGGCAGTGAAGTGTATTTTAACCATCACTTAATCAACCGATTCCCGAAAGCGTGAAGTTACGGTTCTATTGTAAACCTATTTATAATTGCTCGTTTCTAGAGAAAAAAACAAACGTGAGTGTTGATACTCCTTGGTTAGCTAACTCGAGTCAGATGGAAATGGGTTTGAACCCGTGACTAAGTGGGTGGACCACCAAGCCACTGCTCCAATTAAGGAAACTGATTTTCAATCACTAAATTTTAGGTTCAAATACCTATATATTCACACACATAGTTCCCTTTATTATCTTAAATAGAGTAAGAACAAAGATTGGTGCAGAATAATATGAATTCATTTATAAAATGAATTCATATTATTCTGCACTAATCTTTGCTCTTGCTCTACCTATCTATTCGATTGGCTGTCGGGCCAAAATGTGTGGATTAAAAGTGACCACAAGAAATTGTACTGGGTTACTGAGTTGGAAAATAAAGAAATCTTGTATTAAATTAATACAAGTGGATTTTAAGATGTAATCAGAGAAATAAGCTTATTGCATATATATGCTTTGATTTTTTAAGCGTTTCTTAGTAAGTCATTACCAAAACGGAGCCTGGCAAAGATGCACTTTGGCCCAAGTTTCTACACCCCATTGAGACGACGAGATGGAAATAACAAGAGGAACATCAATGGATTGAATTATAAAGTAGCAATGATAACACGAAAGACTGAATATTAGAATATGGTTCAAAAGGACAGAGTGGTTAGACACGTACAGGGGTACACTGGAGTTCAAAATCGAGAGGAAGGTGAGGAATAAATGAATCTGCACCATTTTGGAAAATTCTGAACTGTCATCACAAGTCTCCCACCACCGATAGAGCTTAACGCGTGGATACCAATTAAGCAGTCTGCGTCTATTGTAGTGAGTGCTACTAATGTCGACAGATATAAGTAGTATGTATCACCAGTTGAAGTGGGAATGCCTGGTGACAGAAGATTAAGAAGATCGAGAAGAAGAGAATAAGAACAGAGAATGATTGGAGTGGAAACGAAGGAACAATCAAGTTTGAGGTAATTGACTAAAACTCTGCAAATGAAGTATTTACTGTATGGTTCTCAGATTTTATTGATAGATTCTGTAGTTGCGTACCCAAATACATTTGGTTGTCCTCGCCTTTGTTTTCTTTCACTACACTATCAACAGTCAATGACTTTGTCGACTAATGCTATGTCTTGGTTTGAGTATTCCTACCTTTCTTCCAGTCCTCTTCTACACCACCGAAAATCGCCCGTCAAAGTAGGCGGTGGTTAGACCAACAAGTCATGTATTATGATGAACGTATCTATTCCCACTAAATTATCACATATTAAATTATATCCTGAATGGATAAGAATAAGGCTAAATACAATTAATTTTGACCTCATCACAATAATTCATATCTTATGAGGTCAAATTTAACCCGATAAGTCTCCTGATTCCCATGCTATTCGGATATCAAATCCAATATAATTATTTATTGGAAGCGTAAAGTTTCTTAGCTCTGTTAACATAATGTTTCAATAACTTTTTGGAGTAATTATAAAACATTAGATAACACTAGGCTAGCGTAAATATAAAAAGTATTTGGTGGGGCCCTTTATTTTGTCATTTAGATCGGACGGTGTTTGTTGACGGGCTCTCTACTTTAATGGCCCGAGTCCTGACTCCAAGTAGATTGCATGAATGATTGTTATTGAATTGTATAGGCCGCCTATCCTCGCATGTCTTTATCGACTTAAACAACGTTCAGTGAATAACGGAATCAAATAAGCCAAATGACGCGAATCGATTTTTGAATACATATATTTTGTATACAAAGCGAATGAAATAGAGCAAAGCAAAACGACGCGCAGTGGAGATGGTGGGTAAGCCAACCCCCATTTGACCGAGCGTTAATCAATAATTATAGTTACACAAAAATAAGTTACAGACATGTGATGAATAGGATAAGGAATGTACACACACCTACGCGCTCATATAAAAACAGTCAAGATTGATAAGCGAATAATTAATAAGGTCAAGATGTGACTCGAGTAGAATGAATAGAATGGGCTGTCCGAAAGCTGGAATAAGGTATATGGGCTTAACATAATAACCGACACTACAAGTGTTCAGAACTAGTTAGTGATAGCAATAAATGTATTCATTTGATGTATATAATAGTTTGATTTGCTTTAGAGTGGTTGAAATGCTACACTAGAACTTTAAGGTAAACGAAATAAATGCTTATTAATCGAGTCATAGATTTATACTAAAAATCAAGCACTTCAATACCACTGACAAAGTAGCATGGTTCAGTATCCTAAAACTCTCTTGATTCACAACAAAGTTGCACTTTATCAATAAGTTAATGTTTTTAATACACAAAATAACAAGTGCACATTTTGTAATTTTTACAAAAGATTTTCTAATCCGTACTCACAAAAATTAAGATCGCTGTTTGTCAATTAGTGGATTCCAAATGAACAACTATTCATAACTTACACGAAATTTCTATGATCAAGTTTTCTTTTTATTATCACAGAAAATTTAAGAGGAATTTTATTGGACTGATTAAAGTAATAACATGATCTCACTTTCATTACAACACTTTTCTTGATTACTTGTATCATAACTGTTTTGACCCAATTTTGAAGTAGACATTAAACTTTGACAAGTATCATCACAGCCTTTGTGTTTTACATCTGAGTTGAGATGCTTCCCAAATAATTGGTTAGATAATGTTACTCTAGAAGGACTAAAATATTTAGTTGGTATATTCTTAGAGTCGATTTTATTTAGCGTATCAACGGTTCGCGAACGCAGATAAACATTGAGAAGTAAAGCTGATATTATGCAACATGCTCCTGTAAAATTAAACAAATTCATAAATTTCAAATAGATGTTAACATATAACAAAGATATCAAGCATTATTATTAAATAGGGAAAGTTATATTTTGTTAGTAGACTTTGAAAGCTACTACTTATAGTGAATCCAAGAATGTTATTGATTTGATGGTAAATTTCAAAAAAACTGATATCAGTTTACAATTAGTTAAATAAAATAAACAATTGACTTTGATTATATTTCAGGCTGAATATTTTCGATGAAATTAAAACTCGAAGAAATTCAAGTGTTTCGGAGGATACATCGTTGACTACCAGATGTTTTGAAGAAATTCAATAATTAGCATATGTCAGAGTAACCAGATCAGGAGGTAATAGTTATTCATGAAATTTCTGGTTGGTGATCTAAACATTGCGAAGAACTGGATCATTCTCAAAATTTTTCAATTCGATTAAGCTTTTCTGGTTTCGATTAGTGAAAAGTGTTGCAACTTCAATTGATATACTACTATTCGAGAAAATTTTTTTTTACGTCTGGTGATCGTACATGTTATCATAATCACAATGACTTCATTGATCATGTACTTCCTATAATACTGATCGAGCAGGTTATGATTAATGACAATAGAATTAATAATGATAATTTGTATACATTTAATTTTTTTTTAAACTGTCTTACTAGGTTAGCTGGTGGGAAAATCATCAAACCACTCAGCCCACAACCAGTGGAACTAAGGTTTAAACTTTATTCCGCTTATTTCGACCCCGTTCACCAGAAAAATATGGGGAAACAATTGAGAATTTACTGCATTAGGATTCCTATATTACGTGGGATGTGTAAAATACGATTTACATCAATAGAAAAAAATCACTTCAAATTTGAATTTCATGTTTACAAATGTGCAATTATAAATATGTTGAGGTTAACACATTTGTTGATTTAAATAAAAGATATCAGAAAAAATTTTAAAAAAGGTTTGACAATTAGCTGCAACAACTATGTAGCTAATATATCGGAGTTTGTCTACATTTAATAGCAATACCAGCTAGGAAAAAATATTGAAGATTTAAATTATGATAGAAAACAATGACGAATCTAGATTTTATGTAAAACTGGGTTATACAAATCGAAACCACTGAATGAATGTATTGTTTGGTTTATGATACTGATGTGAAAATCACTTAAAAATGTGATTTTAGAATTATTCAGCTATTGTACCATGCATCAGTAGATGAATTTGAAATAAAGTTGAATGATATCTATTCCTTGAAATATCTGGACTTATCTATTTATCAACGTTGCTTAGGATAAGTGATAACGTTACTAGGAGTTCGTTCCAGAAGATAATATGAAGTCAATGTAGTTAAGAAATAATACAAATTATGTATGACTGAAGCTTAAGTCAGATTAATTTTCATACAGGAAGAATGGTAATAAATTTTAGGGATAGTTGTTTTTTAATTAGGCACTAAATAGTGACATACAAGGTCAAAAATTCGCCTTTAAATAGGGGGTAACAGTTGATGATAAGCACAATATAAAATGAATGCACTGGTCACTTAAAAGGTATGTACTTACCAACAAAAATGAACGGAGCTCTCCATGCTAAATCACCGAGAAATATTGTTGCATACGAAGAAATAACGATAGATATCCAAGAACCCATACAACCAGCTAGGTTAGAGGACGATGATATTAATCCCCACCAAGTGGCTAATTCATGAGAAGCCACAGACTGAAAGTAATTTAAGTAGACTTTGAGAAACAAAATCATATGTACTTTAAATTAGGACTAGGAATTTACGTAATTGATAATACTTCAAGTTAAATAACTGTAAGACAATAGGTTACTGTTAATCAAATATTTGTTTCTTTTAATAATTAAGATATTATTTTCATCGGCGTTGTTTCTCTACGAAACCAAGTAGATTCACCGATAATTTAAAAACGAAGATAGGGACTAAAAAGAGATATTATAAAAGTAAGTTAAATACGTACAAATCTAACTGAAAGGCCATTAAAATGCAAAAAATATTTCGTAAATGATATTTAGTGGCTAAAGTTGAATGATGCTCTTTACATTAGCGGTGATTCAAACATTCTGCTTTCAATCATTGAGTCTCAAGTTTGAATTCAAATCTGTCTAATACATTTTAGAGAATGAAGTAGTATCATTGACACTTACGTAAACCGTGGCTCAGAGTCAAGTACATACGACTCCACAATCTAAGTTAGTAAAACTACAGTAATCCTCTTAACTCTGCCTGTAGCTCTTCTAGAGTTACTTCCGGTCTTAAGCCCGGGTAAAGAATGAGGGTTGAGCATGGAGTTAGGGACCCCATCCCGTAGAAAACTAACTCGGTAAAAAACCCTAACCAGAAAAAAAAATTCAAACCATTTAAAGTCTGCCCTGGGAGTTAGAAGGCCTTCATTTAGAAGAAATATGACGCCTCATGGTGAAAGCCGAGCTCCTTCGGAAGCCATGAGGCCGATGACCCTTCTAACAACCAGAGCAACAATTTTTACAGGTACATGGAACGTCCGGACAATGTGGGAGACCGGAAAGACCAGTCAAATAGCAACGGAAATGAGGAGATACAACTTGGCAGTACTGGGAATCAGCGAAACCCATTGGACCCAAGCTGGACAACAAAAGCTAAATACGGGAGAGATGCTGCTATACTCCGGTCACGAAGAAGAAAATGCTCCACACACTCAGGGAGTTGCTCTAATGCTGTCCAAAGTAGCACGGAATGCACTTGTACGATGGGAATCTCACGGATCCAAAATCATCAAAGCATCATTCAAAACTGTTGGGATAGTCGGAAAAAGAGACCAATAATTACCATGTTAAGTTCAATGGTGTCCTTGAACCTTAAATGTACATTTCTTATTGGTCGATGTTTATTTCACTTGTTAAATATTGTACAAATGTTGTTTCCTATTTTATGGTACGATGTGGGTTGTTTGCTTGGTATATAAATAGAGTATGTTTGAAATACAATGATTCATAACTCCGAGGCTGTGACTTGTGTTCTTCACTCAACTGGGCCAGGACGGACAGTGAAGCAGGGCCAATCAGGGCACTAGGTCGTCCGTACGTGTTTTCCGTGTCACTGTCACAGATCGCGATCGATAAATACGCTGCGTATCTAAAAACCCTGCAGTTTCACACCCACACGTTACAACAAAAACAAAGAAGGAGGGGATCACAATGAATATTATTCAATGTTATGCACCCACCGATGATAGCACCCCCGAATGCCCTGGTACGGCCGAGTGGGGTGAGTCCGCTCTCCCTCTCGAAATACTCTCACACGGCCGCGCGTATACACCCTCTGCCAAGGAAGTCCTACTCATTGCCTTCTCGTGGCGGGGGTGTTGTTTACGCAAATGAGAGGACGAAAAGCGAATGTCCGGCGCTTTAACCTGATCCCGAACCAAATCAATGGTGCACATGGGCTTCAGTATCCTGCGGGAACAAATGGCGTATGAACCAATCGTTGGTCACCGGCTACCATGGGATTGCATCTCTTCACGATGCTCCACTGCCTTGTGGGTTAGACCTTTAGGTCAAAGGCTCGGGGAGTGGCCCCTTAAGATAACCACCTGCATCGGTTTGGGCACCCGGGCAGTATCACAGCCCACACACAAACGACGAACTCTATGTCTATGGCAACCACTTTTCTCGCTCCGAAAAACAATCAGTCGATTCAAATAATTATCATTACTATTATTGTCATTATTAATACTATTGTTGTCATTATTATTATTATTATTATTATTATTATTATTATTATTATTATTATTATTATTATTATTATTTTCCACATTATTCACCCTCTTTTATACTTATACAGCGGCTCGTCTTTGGTGGAATTCCGACTGTATCTAAACGTTCTCGAGTCACTGTCCGGTTGAAAATTATATGTTACCACCGAATACGAGAACTGAAGCAGTTTTTCTGAAACCACGTGCACCATTCAAACTGGCTGCCTTCAACGTTCGCACACTTATGCAGGTTGGTCAACAGATAGGGCTGGCTATGTCTTTGGAAAGTCTAAATATTGATGTTTATTGTCTATCCGAGACCCGTATTCAAGACTCTGGCGAAGTACTAGTAATTCGATCTCCATCTGTCACTTCAAAAAGCTTGTTTTACGTGCGCTTATCCGGGGACCCTGTGGCATCTTCGTCTGGTCTTGCAGGCGTTGGTGTCGCACTAAGCGCTAGAGCTGAGGCAGTACTAGTCGATTGGATCCCCATTAACAGTCGGTTATGTGCTGTTAGATTAGAAAGTTCCATCAAAGTGAGAAGAAATCGGCGTGAGAAACGATGTCTTCTCGTCATCTCCGCCTATGCCCCGACAGATTGCAACCCGGATGCAATCAAGGATGAGTTTTACCACCAGTTATCTGTTCTTCTCCAGAAAGTGCGTTCCACAGATATTGTGGTACTAGCCGGAGACTTGAATGCTCAGGTCGGGCGTCTAGGCCGATGGGGACCAGTTGGTCGCAGGTCAGATAACGGGGACCGTCTGCTGCAACTTTGCACAGACTACAACCTGTTTCTGGCTAGCACTAACTTTCGGCACAGTCATTGCCGATGTGCCACCTGGCGTCCTCCCTCTGCATCTCAAGCCTGGACTCAGATTGATCACATCGCGATCAGCTACCGCTGGCGTGGTTGTGTACAAGACTGCCGCTCGTTTTGGAGTACCTATCTGGACTCTGACCATGCCTTGGTCTGCGCCAATCTTGCCTTACTTTTCAGTGGACAACGAAGTGACCGCCAGCAAAGGATTCATATTAGCAAGCTGGTTGCAACTTCTGTTGCAAATAAGTATCGAACCGAGCTAGCCTCTAGGCTAGCTACCACTCCACCGAAAAGTATAGATGAGCATTGGTTGCAATTGCATGACGCCATGAAAATGGCGGGAACAGTCAGTTGTGGGTTTGCGAAACGCCCCGCTTATAAGCACTGGGTTTCTGCAGGTTCCTTACAACTCATTGAAGCCCGTCGGTCTACTCCGGGTGACCGTGAGTTTGACCACAAACGAAGGATGTTACGTAAGGAAATCGGGCAAAGCTTGCGTAAGGACCGAGAAGCCTGGTGGTCGAAGCGTGCTAATGAGCTGGAAGCAGCAGCTGCATCTGGTAACTACCGGAAGCTCTTCCAGCTCATCCGAGCCACTGGCAGCAAGAAGTCTGGTGTGAGTGGAACAATCTGCGAGGATAATGGGATGCCAATCACTAACATCCATCGACGTCTTGGACGATGGGCAGAATTTTTCGAAGGGCAGTTCAACTGGCCTGCTGCTCCGGCAACATCGGTCAGACTGTCCTGCCCTCCATGGCCGGTGACGACTGATCCACCAAACGAGGAGGAAGTCTGCAAGGAACTCCAACTCTTGAAGCGTTACAAATCACCTGTCCCAGATGACTTACCTCCGGCTCTTTTTAAAGATGGTGGCGACTTGTTGACTAAGGAATTGACGACGTTGTTTACAAAGGTTTGGGAGCTAGAGAGTGTACCAACGTCATGGAATGAGTCGATAGTTGTCCCTATCTTTAAAAAGGGTTCACGTCGTTCTTGTAACAACTATCGGGGGATAAGTTTACTTCCAATTGCGTCCAAGCTATTGGCTTCCGTCATTCTTCGTAGGTTGTTCAAAACCCGAGAAAGATTGACTCGCGAGGAGCAGGCTGGGTTTCGTTCTGGTCGAGGATGTATTGATCATATCTTCACCCTCCGCCAAATGTTAGAACACCGCCATACTTATCAAAGGCCAACAATCATAGTGTTTCTTGACATCAGGGCTGCCTTCGATTCGTTGGACAGGGCTGTTCTCTGGGATTGTCTATTGAAGAAGGGTGTGCCTGAGAAGTTTATTTACACCCTAAAAGCCCTATATAAAAACACCTCAGACAGAATGAGAGCATACAACCACCTCTCTCCATTGTTCCATTCGAGCAATGGGGTTAGGCAGGGTTGTCCAATCTCACCATTCCTCTTCAACTTTGCCATCGATGACATTCTGGAAACAGCTCTGATGAATATAAGTAATGGTGGTGTGGATCTGTTGCCTGGAGAAAGACTTCTCGACATTGAGTATGCGGACGATATTGTCTTACTGTGCGATAATGCCCAAGGCATGCAATCCACACTTAATCAGTTGGCAATCAGTGTCCGTAGGTATGGTATGTGCTTTGCACCTTCGAAGTGCAAAGTACTCCTACAAGACTGGCAGGATTCCAATCCTGTACTCACCCTGGATGGTGAGCAGATAGACGTAGTCGAAAAGTTCGTGTATCTGGGTAGCTGCATAAGTGCTGGTGGGGATGTGAGTGATGAGATCAATGCACGTATAGTGAAAGACAGAGCAGCTTATGCCAATCTGGGCCACCTTTGGCGCCTTCGTGATGTTAGTCTGGCTGTAAAAGGTCGGATCTACAACGCGTCGGTGAGAGCAGTTTTGCTCTATGTTTGTGAAACCTGGCCTCTCCGAGTTGAGGACGTTAGACGACTCTCTGTGTTCGATCACCGCTGTCTCCGAAGGATTGCTGACATTCAGTGGCAACACCATGTCAGTAATGCAGAGGTTCGGCATCGTGTGTTCGGGCACAGAGATGATAATTCAATTGGTGTCACCATCTTGAAACACCGACTTCGGTGGCTTGGACATGTTCTCCGAATGTCGTCCCAGAGAATTCCACGTCGTGCATTATTTGCCGACTCTGGGACTGGTTGGAAGAAGCGGAGGGATGGCCAGTGCATGAAATGGTGTCGTGGCATGAAAGAAAGCTGCAAAGGACTGGCTTGTGTTGGTCCTTCATGACTCCCTGTTTGGGGTCTGAGAGATGGTGCTACACAGTGGCTAGAGACGTTATCAGATATGGCTCAGAATAGAAGCCAGTGGCGATCCTGCTGTAACCTTCTTTTACTTTCTTCATAAAAAGTGGTTGTGTCTCCCTTACCTGAAAGATTTCCGATTGTACCTTTGCGTTCCCTGATTACTAGCACATTACCTTACACCAATCTCTTCGTTATTGTTCTCTCTTTTTTTGTTGCGCTCCTTAGCTTTTTTTTTCTTTCTCTGTATTCCTCTTGAATTTTCATTGTTTTGTGTGGCGCATATATATTGGTGCTCTCTTGTACCAATATTCATGTGTCCAAATAAATAAATACCGATGATAGCAACGACGATATTAAAGATTAATTCTATAAGAGGCTGAAATCAATCATAAAGAAGTGCCCAAGAAATGACCTCACCATTCTGATGGGAGATCTAAACGCCAAAGTCGGAATAGACAACGCCGGATAGGAAGATATCATGGGACGACATGAATTGACTGGG